GTTATTTTTAAAATTTTGAGGTAAGTTTAGACTTACAAAGAGAATTACCATATACTTTACTCCCAGCTTCCCCTTGTGTTAACATCTTATATAACCAGAGATTATTCATCAAAATTAAGAAATGAACTTGGTATAATATTATTAACTAAGTATAGACTTTATTCAGTTTTCCCCAGTTGCACTGATGTCTTTTTTCTGTTCTAGAATTCAACCCAGTGTGCCACATTGCATGGAGTTGTCATGTCTTCATAGTCTCCTCCAGCCTGTGACAGGTTCTTAGTCTCTCCTTGTCTTTTGTGACCTTGACATTTTTGGAGACCGTTTTGTAGAATGTAAGTTATTTTAAAGAATGTCTCTGAATTTGAACTTTTCTGTTTTCTCAAGATTAGATTGGGAATGAATCTATCCTTATGTGTGTGTTTATTTATGTGTGTGTATATGTATGAGTGTGCTCGCGCATGCATCTATCTATCTATCTATCTATCTATCTCAGGGGGGAACATGATGTCAGTGTAAACACACTGGTGATGTTAACCTTGACTGCTTGGCTAAAGTGGTATCTAAAAATTCTCTATAAAAACTTACTATTTTTCTCTTTGTAATTATTAAATATTTTGAGATTATGCAAACATTATTTCCTTTTAAACTTATGCTTTCTTTATTTCAGCATGTATCAGTGGATCTTGTTGGCAGCTGTTAAAACTGTGGTCTTTTTTTTTTGGTCAGATAGAGTGGGAGGGGGAGAGACAGAGAAAAACATCGACGTGAAAGGGACACATCAAGTGGTTGCCACCCGCACGATCCAACCAGGGCTGGGGACAAACTGCAACTGAGATACATGCCCTTAGCGGGAACCAAAACCGGGTCTCTCTGGACCGCAGGTCGACACTCTAACTGCTGAGCAAAACTGGCCAGGGCTTACTGTGGTCTTTTAATGCTAATTTTCGATTTCCCTCATTCCTTCATTTCCTTTTTCTTAAATATATAGCACTTTCGTCTCTTTTTATTATTATTATTGATTGATTTTTAGAGAAAGTGAAAGGGGGAGAGAGAGAGAGAAAGAAAACCAGTGATTTGTTGTTCCACTTATTTATGCATTCATTGATTGATTCTTGTATGTGTTCTGACAGGGGATCAAACCAGCAACCTTGGAGTATTGGGACAATACTGTAATCAACTGAGCTACCTGGCCAGGGCCTATCCAGAATCATCTTACATTTTCTGCCTCAGTCCTAGAATCAATCAGTTCTCCAAAGAGTTCCTAAATATGTTAGATGCTATAGGGGTGTCACTGCTTCTTGCCCCTTTCAATGGACAGAGGTAGTAAATATATATATGTATATCAACTCATGCATCTATACACGTATCTATCTACTTTTTTTATCCATCTATCTAAACATGAGTTCATATCGATACCTCTGATTCCAGTATGACACCAGAGGTTTCATTCTGTCCTTGCCCCTTCGTGATTTATCACTTCTTTGTCTGATGTGAGAAACCTGACTCTCATTATCTACAATATATTTACTTGTTTGTTCAACCTTAGTATCCAAATAAAGTAAGGGCGAATTCTGAACCCATAACCTGGAGAGAAACAAATTTACAAACTAGGTGCTTTGTTGGTATTACAGTTCTTTTTGTCTTCAGCCTTACAGTATATAGTCAAAACACTGTTTTTTTTTAAGGTCTGCTCTTTTCTTCCCATTCCCTTCAGTGTGGCTATGTGATTTATTTGCATCAGTTAGATTCATTTGTCAAACAAAGTCTGCATTCCATCTTTCCCTCCCATATGCAGGTTACTTTAAAAATATATATACACACACACACACACACACACACACAGTAAAAGTTGTGGTATAATTCTATAGGTTTTGACAAATGTGTAAAATTATGTGTCTATGCAGGACAGTTCCATTACCCCAAAATATTTCAATGGCGACTTTAATTTTAATTCCACTTTCCCACACCAACCAGGAGGTGGCAGGGTTTCGCTCTTAGAGGCAGCCTTCACCAGGTAGCTGAATCTTGCCTGCTCTCTATGCAAGTGGGCCTTGGCAGGCAGCTCCCCGTCCCTCACATCCCTTTTATCATCTTCTGGCTATGGTTAGAAAGGTTAAGAGGTTAAGCTTCTTCCCTAAAATAGGTGAGTTTGGCTGGAAGCCTCAGAATCTCACACGAACTGAATAAGCAGGATGATGCATCTGAGTGGTCAAGAAGGCAACCCAAATATACTTTGATAAAATCTTCACAGTGAAATAAACACACACACACACACACACACACACACACACACACACACACACAAAATTCAGTGAGGGCAGCAAAGGGAGATTTAAAACAAACAACAAACTAGAGACCAACAGCAAATCAGATGAAGGTGGGCAGATGATCACAGACTCTCTCTTCAAGACATTTCTTTTTTTTTTATATGAGTGGCTGGTGTGGATGTAAAAAGGGATTCCATGGAAAGTAACCTTACAAGTGATTGGACCATAAATTCCTAACTGGAAAGGTCATTGTGGGTAGTCACATCCCAAGCATATCACTTCTTTAGTAAAAGGTTTATCTCTTTGCCTTAAGCAAGCCCTATCCACGGTTTCTGTGTATCTAGGTTACCACACTTTTGAAATAAACCACCCTCAAAACAGCACATAATCTTAACTACCCTGTAATTTAATCCAAATGACAACCCTTAAGACAGCACATAATCTTTACTTCCCTGTAACCTTCCTTACATTCCCTTCTCAATCTCAAAATGTGTAAAAGAAAAAGCAAACTGCTATTCTCCGAAGCATTTATCTCAGTCTGTTGAAATCTTGCTTCCAGGTGTTTCCGCTTTTTTGGCTCAAATACATTTCTATGAAAATTCTCTACAGGTTTGAACATTCTTAAGTTGACACCAACACTAACCTTCCAACTGGAGCAAATCATTTTACCTCCCTAAGTTGCATCTATAAACTGAGGGTAATAGGTAGTAATAGGGTGGTTATATGTATGAGATAATGCATAGAAAGTGCCTAAGAGTTTCTGGTACACATAGTGCTTATAAATATTAGTATTATAAATAAATTATAAGTGATCTAAATTTATCTCAATGACCTTCTATAGTTCTCTTATCTTTTTTTTAATAATGGGCAAACTGTCAAAAGATTCTTCTTATCCCATACACAATAAAAAAGAGTCTGGATGGATGCCTGCACTCATTGCTACAAACCAATTTGAATAATTCACTAAATCTGACTAACCCCCATCCCTGCACACCACTACTATGAACCCCTAATATCTTGCTAGATATTTTATATACATTGTCACATTAAACTTCTACAGAACTCTGAACAGTAAGTATTATCATACCATTTTAAAGGTAAGATAACTGAGCACTGGAGCTATAAAACAAACTGCCCAAGGTCACAGAGCTAGTCTGTCAGCAACCTCTGCCTCCAGAGCCTCCATTCTTCCACTGCACTGCACAGCACTACTCTCCACCATCCATGAAAACATCCTACAGTTGAGACTCTGGTCCTCTTCTTCTGTATTCAAGTTCCCTTTGGGTGATTTCTACTCACTAACAAAATTTTACCACCTCTATGCCAACAATTCCACAAACTTCTACTTGCAAGCAGGACTCTTACCTCAGTTCCAATCCTATATATCCAACTTCCTTGGTGGACATCTGTATGTATCCTTCTTGAGTACAGTAAACTCAGCATTACCAAGGCCAACATATTGTCCCACCCTACTATTTTTTTTTCTTTATTGATTTTTAGAGAGAGAGAAAGGGAGAGGGAGAGAGAGACAGAAACATCAATGACAGAGGACATCGACTGGCCTCCTCCATGGCCCCCACTGGGGGTTTGGCCCACAACCTGGGCATGTGCCCTGATTGGGAATCGAACCAGCAACCTCTTGGTGCATGGGTCGATGATTAACCAATGAGCCACACTGGCCGGGTGCCCCACCCTACTTTTTTTTTTAAATTCTCACCCAGGACATTTTTGCATTTATCTTCAGATAAAGCGGGGGGAATGGGGGGGGGAGGAGAGACACATTTATGTGAGAGAGACACAATGAGTGGCTGCCACCCACATGATCCCAACCGGGGCCGAGTACATACTGCAACCGAGGTACGTGGCCTTAGCGGGAATGGAACCCGGGACCCTCTGGTCCGTGAGCCACCGCTCTAACTGCTGAGTCAAACTGGCCAGGGCCTACTCTACTTTTTTAGCCTGACTTTTTTCCCTGGTAGGGTCAGTACTATTAGTCTAAATCTTCAACTTCAATTTCTGGTACTGCCAAAAGACAGTATGTCATCAGCTCCTATCAGGTGAGCTTCTCCCACATCTCCCCACCTTGTGCCATTACTTTCTCCCCTCCTTCAAATCCTTCACACCTTTCTTTGTACTCTCAAAAAACTTTCTAGGTGGCTTTTCTGCTTCCCCTACCCCAATCCATTCTTCAAAGCTGTCCTCTGGGTAAATCTTAGAATACCTGTTTATGTCATCTCAGGCTAATGGCTCTTAGAAAGCTTCCCAATAAATCCCAAATTCTTCACCAATATGAATGCAGATTCCTGAGCATGCCTAGCCTCTGAGTGTGCCATGATTCTAACAAACAAAATGATATCACATTCAGGACCTACTGCCTTCTTCTTATCTTTTCACCCAAAATCCCCACTTCCTGTCATCATGCCTGAGAGAACTAGTAGAGTGTATTAATCCCAATTAGGACTTGATAGTTAACTGGGGTCTTGGCACATGGAGCTTTTGCATTCATTCTCACAGAATCCTTAACATCTCACCAGTCTTTCCCCCCATGTAGTCTGGGAGGTCCCTGTAGGCAGGAACTGTCCCAGATTCATTTGTGGGTTATGAGTACAAAGTACAAGGCCTGGCATATCGTGCAGGCTTGGGAAGTGAGTAACTCCAAGGGTTAAGAGCTGACACTAAAGGTAAAGTGATGGGTGAAGAGTGGTGGGTAGTAGAGCCACAAGCACCACTCACCTTTCCGGTTCATCCCCATCTGGAGGCATTTGAGCAGACGGCAGTACTGGCACCTATTCCTCTGTTTCCGAGACATGACACAGTTCTTATCACGGCTGCACCGATATACCCGCTTGTTGCAAATGCTCCGCTTGAAAAACCCTTTGCAGCCCTCACAGGAGATGATTCCATAGTGCAAGCCTGTGGCTCGGTCCCCACAAATGAGACAGGTTCGTTGTTCGGCCCGATCATCTGGAACAGAAACTGAATATATTCAAGTTAGAATACAGTGGGAATAATGGCTTTAAGCCTGCAGTACTAAAACAAACCCTGCTCTGGGTAGATCAAGAACATCACCTTCACCCTGGCCCTGGTTTTGCTCAGAGATTACAGCATTGGCCCAAGGACCAAAGGGTCGCAGGTTTGATCCCTGGTCAAGGGCATGTACCTGGGTTTTAGGTTCGATCCCTGGCCTTGGTCAGGGTGTATGTGGGAGGCAACCAATCAATGTGTCTCTCTCACACTGATGTTTCTCTCTCTCTCTCCCCCTACTCCCTTCCACTCTAGAAAAAAATCAATGGAAAAAATATCCTCAGGTGAGAATTAACAAAAACAAAAATAATTTTTAAAAAAGACCACCACCCTCTCCCAGGATAACTGGCAAACGGGGCATCTTCAGAACTCTTGTCCTAGGAACAGACCCCTACATCTACCTGCAGATACCACAAATACAGCATACCAGAAAAAATAACTAGTGCTCCTCTCCCTGGATTCATCATCACTTAGTCCAGCATCCAAGTCAGAAACCTGGGAGATATCCTTGACTGCCCTGACTCCTCCATCTCCCTTAGCTTCCTCACTCATGGCTCATCACTTTTACCCATACAAAGGTGGTAAGGATTACTGAAATTGTATATAAGTGCCCAGCACATGGTATGTACTCAATAAATGATTATTGTAATTGTTAACAAGTTTAGAAGCTTTAACCATGCCCAGCTAAGCCAGCCAGCCAGCCAGCCAGCCAGCCAGCCATCCAACAGATACATACTGAGCAACTCTCTAGCACCATTGTAAGGTATATAACAGTGAATTAAAGTCCCTTGTGAATTTTACATTCTGGCAGAATATCTACTCTGTGTCCATGCTCTCTGTCCTAGGTACTGCGTATTCAGATCCCCATAGTTAAGGAACTCATTGCCTAACAACAAACAAGTTAGTCAAAGAGGAGATTCAGGCTGGAATATAGCTCTTCACTTCCTCTTCCCTCAAGTTCCGCTTACTCAGGACCAAGTAACTGCCAAAGAACATGCATATGACAAAAAAGTGCCCTGGTAAACTGAGATGTCAGACCTTGCTAGCAGGTTTAAGAAATCTCCAGGAAAGGTTTTGATCAGAAGCCAAGGTAGGAAACCAAAGATCTGAACCCCTGTTTAGTAACAGGCAAGGTATAATGGCACACAGCCCTTAGAATTATTTTTTAAACTTTATTTACAAACACTGAAATTTGAATTTCTTTTGACTTTTACATCTCACAAAATATTATTTTGTTTCCCCCAAGCATTAAAAAATGTAAAAACCTGCCCTGGCCGGTTTGGCTCAGCGGTTGGAGCGTCGGCCTGCGGTCCTGATAGACCCGGGTTCGGTTCCTGCTGGGGGCGCGTACCTCGGTTGCAGTTTGTCCCCGGCCCTGGTTGGTCGTGCGGGTGGCAACCACTCGATGTGTCCCTTTCACGTCGATGTTTCTCTCTCTCTCTCTCCTCTCTCTCTCTCCCTCTCCTCTACCTGAACAAAAAAAAAAAAATGTAAAAACCTTCACGAGTTGTACAGAAACAGAGTCTGCCAGCCTCTGCTCTAGGTGTTTCTGATACATATATATATTTAAAGATATTATTTTTTATAGAAGTTTTAGGTTCACAGCAAAATTAGAGAAAGATTACTTGAGAAAAAATAAATTACTGTTGTTCTAGCCACCCAGTTTGTGGTAAATTTTTAATAGCAGCACAAGAAACTAATATACAATGTTTTTTTCCATATAGAAAAACAGACATATAAAGGCTCTTGCCCAAAGTCATAAAATAAATAGCAGGTATGCAGAGAGAAGCAGATATATGAGACCACACAGTTAGGGAAACAGACAAAGATAAATATGTAAATGAACAACTTAAAGCAAAATGGCCTTAATGGTGCCTGGCTAGAAAGCACATATGGATTTCAGTATCTCCTATTCTTGAAAAGGACTTGAAACACGTTATGTTTGCATTCATTATCTCACCTGTACTAGGCCAAGACCAGGATTATTCTTATAGATACGGCAAAGACTATTCGTTGAGTACCAACCATGTATCATGTAATGTTCAAAAAGATTTTACATGTGCTGTCTTATTTCTTCATCACAGTAACTGTGAGAGGCATCACTATCCCCACATTACAGAAACAAGAATCTTTATTAGAAAGTGCCTTAAAAATTCCTTGTACAGCCCAGTAGTTGAGCGTCAACCCAAGCACCAAGAGGTCACCAGTTTGATTCCCAGTCAGGGCACTTGCCCAGGTTATGGGCCAAATCACCAGTTGGGGGCATGCAGGAGGCAGCCATTCAATGTTCTCTCTCATTGATGTTTCTATCTCTCCCTTTCCCTTCCTCTCTCTAAAAATCAATAAAGAAAAGAAAAACTATCTTGTATAAACCTTTACCTGAACTCTCTCTACAATTCAGGGTGGGGCAAAAGTAGGTTTACAGTTGTTTGTATGGAAAACAATACAATAATGAATAAATAATACAAGAATAAACTGTTTCACCCTGGACAGTTTTGCTCAGTGGTTAGAGCATTAGAAGAATCACATGTTCAATCCCCAGCCCCTGTTGGGTCCTGAGGGAGGTGACCAATGGATGTGTCTCTCTCCCATAGATGCTTCTCTCTCTATCACCCCCTCTATCTAAAAACCAATGGAAAAATATCCTTGGGTGAGTACAGTCGTCCCTTGCCACTTCGCACTTTGATGGTCGCAGCTTCACTCTATCGTGGTTTTTTCAAATACTATACTATACAATTCTGTATTTGAAAAAACCACGATAGAGTGAAGCCAGGTCGAAGCGCAGGGTGGCAAGGGACAACTATATAAAAATAAAGAATCCTACTTCACGGAAATTCATTTATTGCGGTAGAGTCTGGAACTGATTAACTGTGATAAACGAGAGCCAACTGTATTAAGAAAATACTACTGCTACTACTTAAAAGAATAATCTGTTTTGCTACTCACAACTGTAAACTTACTTTTGCCCCACCCTGTATGTAAGAGTCATGATCTGCCCACAATTTTGTTTCTGTAAAATGTTCTAAAGGAACTTGCTGAATAATAAAAAGGAGCTTTATTCCGTATAAATGTAGCCATATGTGAGCATTATTTTAAAAAAGGTGACCTGCTTGCCTTTGCTATGGTCTTCTAAACCTTAGGAACAATCTTTAGAATACTTTTTTTTTTATCCTCACCCAAGGACATTTTTGCATTTATCTTCAGATAGGGCAGGAGGGAGAGAGGGAGGAAGAGACAGAAACATCAGCGTGAGAGAGGCATATCAAGTGGTTGCCACCCACACGACCCCAATCAGGGCGGGGACAAACTGCAACCGAGATACATGCCCTTAGCAAGAACCGAACCCAGGACTCTCTGGTCCGCAGGTCAACACTCTAACCACTGAACCAAACTGGCCAGGGCTAGAATTCTTTGAAAATTAAATCGGCCCTGGCCAGTTTGCTCAGTGGTTGGAGCATCAGCCTGCGGACCAGAGTCCCGGGTTTGGTTCCCGCTAGGGGCACGTACCAAAAAAGAAAAATAAATCAATCAATCAGAAATTATTCTAATACAGGTAACAGGAATTATCATATTAAATTTCATCCCTTCAAATTTTAACACTCTGCCCTGGCCGGTTTGGCTCAGCGGTTAGAGCATCGGCCTACAGTCCAGAGAGACCCGGGTTCGGTTCCCACTAAGGGCACGTACCTCGGTTGCAGTTTGTCCCTGGCCCTGGTTGGGTCGTATGGGTGGCAGCCACTCGATCTGTCCCTTTCACATCAATGTTTCTCTGTCTCTCTCTTTCTTCCTCTCTCTCCCTCCCGTTCTTTCTGAACAAAAAATGAAAAAATGTCCTCGGGTGAGGATAAAAAAAAAAATTTTTAACACTCCTGCTGAGAGAGAGAAAGACAGATGCAGAACTTGGTTGGGTCTCTATGGGCACAATTTTTAGAGGCAGAAATGTCAAATTCAAAGGAAATAATGAAAACGATGAATAAAGCAGCTGATACAGTTGGCCAAGAAGATTAATAACAATCTCAACTAGGTACAGAACCCCAGCAACATCACCAGAGCATTACTGATATGCATCTGTTCAAAAGAATGGACATTACACCTCTACATTACTTAGCAGGAATAATAAGTAATTGAGAACAAAGATATTTATAAACAAATCTGGTCATCAATCTGACCAGAATTTTACAATACTTAAATTCGTTTTTAATAAAAGTAGAAGGACTCCTTAGTTATAATTAACCAAGATTATATTGCAGATTATCAATCAAAAGGATTATTAATAGCAACATCTGACAGCATGAATGCTACAGAGAAAATGCTCTTCATTGAATGAATGAAGAATAATTGAATAAAAAGGTATGTGCAAAGCTTTCCAAATTACAAGTCATAACTCATAGTATCATGATAAGTATTTCTGGAATAAAACAGAAAATGTCCAAGGTGCATCACATATAGTAAGGATAAAATATTGTGAAACCTTTCTTCCAATTAAGGTGTGTGCATTTGTGTGTCAGTATATACATGTGTGTGGTGGAGTACTGGATCACAATAAACTATGTATCACTGATTTGGTGGTTAAGACACAGCGGGTATAAATTCCAGCTCTGCCACTTCTTAGCTTGGTAACCATGGACATATGACTCAATTCTCTAAGTCTCACTATCAATTTATAAAATAGAAATAACATCAGTACTCACCTTACAAAGTTACTCAGGAATAAATGATATAGATATACAATGATAACAGCTAACACATACCTGGAGCTTATTATGTAACAAGCTTTGTTTTATATGTGTTATATATAATAATTCACTCATTCCTCATAACTCTAAACTTTATGAAGTGAATATGACTATTATCTCCATTTTGCACATAGAAAACCTAAGGTACACAAAGGTTAAGAAATAATCCCAACGTCCCTTAGCTAGTAGGCAGAGTCAGAATTC